TACGCGCATAAACGACGATGCGTACCCACAATAAAGAATCGATAATTTAGAACTTATCGCTATATACTTTTTAATTACATAAAATAAGTATAATTATTAATTATTAAATATGCTACCGTACATTCATAACACATTACGTCTACGACGAATATACAAATTACAACAGTGTCGGCGGTATAAGCGGTGGCCGCCACCGCTTATACCTCCCCTCCTCCAGACGTAAACTCCAGTTTATTAGCAAAATTTTGTGCCAAAATTAATTTATTACCGTGGAAACAGTTATTATTTTTTTTTCTTCTTCTTCAATCTCGTATATCGAATTTGACGTTTGTTTTATTATTCGGAAAGGACCCCGACCGACTTCATCCAGCACGTTCCTATTCGTTTTGTTGCCATTTTCTATATGTACACTAACCGCCAGTTTTCTTTCCAAACCAATGTTCTTTTCTTGTTTTGTCTACTCTTTTTTTTATTTTGTTCATAATTAGCTTCGATGCGAAGCTGAGAAGGTATTGGTTTTACTAAGATGTGTTTTTTTTTTTTTATTTGAATTTATTACAGCTCGTTCTCTATCTTTTTCAAAGATTAAAAGTTTTATTCCTTGAAGTTCATTTGACACTGTATAAGACTTAACACCATATAATAGATGAGACGGTGAAAATTTTGCTACACCGCGTTGTATCACTACGTTACACCACTACGTTGTATTCCTCTACGCATTCCTCCGCTATCTCAGACCACGCTTTAATTTCTCCACATTTTACATCTTATTCTGTTTACCGATGTTTGGTTTAGTCTTTCATGCAATCCATTTGATTCCAGGCAATCGACTGATGTACTCAATATTAATATTATATTCTTCGATTTCATATAATCTTTGACTTGTTTGGATTTAATCCCCGTATATTGATCCGCCAAAACCATTAAATCACCAGAAAAATAAAATATAATTATATCATAAATAGTATTTTACCATTGATAAAAAAGAGCAATTAGGCCAATTTGAAATCATAGTTTTTAAACAATTTTAAAAAAGAAAAAACGAGCAAAATTGTACTTCTACCACCAACATAAATCAGTAGGCAAAGAAAGTATGCCCCCCCGAATTATGTTGGTGGTAGTGTGGACACTACTAGTTAGACATTGCGTGATGGTATGAAATCTGGCCGCACTGACGTTATGTAACGCGCTTTCGAAGAACACCGCCCCAACACCCATCCAGAAAAACGCGTAACGACACCGGTGCAACGAGATTCGAACCGCCTACCGGAAAAACATAGAAATCGGTATTTTACCCAATGCCACTAGTGCCCACGGTGAAGTCATGAAGCAAAAATGTACTTATTTAAATGACGTAGATTGAAGAGTTTATACATATAAAAGCTCTTATCTTTTTTTTTAAAGAAAAATCAATGACATAACCTCATCTAATAATAAATGCTAGGTTTAACATATTCAATACTAATATATTTTATTATTTTCATCAATTTCAAACTATCGTTTTGATGTTTACTTGACTAACAAATTTAAACAGAAACTATTTTATAATAAGTCTATTTCAACAATTTTTATACTTCTTGTATTATAAGTTTTAACCAAACTACAAAAATTCAATTTCTACATAATGAAATTTTATGTTTTTGGTAAAATGCACTGAAATCCAATCTAATATTAATAAGTGAACGTAATATAATTGTTATAATGCAAAGAAGAAATAAACATTTACAAACAATTTGTTGATATATTCAATTTAAGTAAACTATTGGTCGGTGCATACTGAAGTTATACTAGAAATATTTTAACATCAATCGCTTGTGATATTGAATTTAAATGAAATACTGTGATAATAAACTAATAATGATTAGTTCAAAACATGTTTCCAATATACTTATTACTCAATTGATGTTTCCAAAACTAATTTATCAAAATAATTAATTTTAGCAAATAAGTTTGAATATTATAAAATATTATAGTAAAGATTATAAGTTTAATTCTGAATAGTGCATTATAAAAATTGTTGAGAAAATTAGTCTGACTTCATATTAATTTAACATAATATTATGTTGTTTTATTTAAACAATTTTATTCAGTGTTAAAAAAATTGTTAAAAGAAAAATTACATGTATAGTTAGCTGTTGGGTTGTATTTTTATAGATGAATTATTATTTAAAGTTTTCATGCTAAAACATTGTATAGTTTCATATTTGGTAACCATAATAATTTATGTAACATTCATTTTTGATTTTGATGTACATTTAGAAATACTTAACCAATGTAATATACTTTTATTACTTAATTAAATTTATACATCTCATCAACGATCACCAATAATATACCGACGCCCCTGAGGCATGTAATAGTTTAATTTTGTTTACATAATTCTTACCGAATAAGCCATAAATGAGGCCATACAGTTTCACCTATGGATTAGCAATATACTACACATTACTCGTCATTGTTTGTTTACATATCCTAAACAAACAATGATAAGATACAAATCACTCCTCGTACTGGATTGGGGGTACTCTATCATTTTACTATAAAAAACACTGAAATCCTTCAGACTTCAAGGAGTGAGAGAATGACGAGAGTTCGCTTTCTCCGAATTCAAATAATAATAAAAAAGAAACAATTATCAGTCACAGTCCTGTGTTGTTGTCGGCTGACTTTTACGCGTTTTATTTATACACGAAAAGAATTTGTTTTAATTATTTATCTTTTGACGAAGTGCGAATTAAATACTTTTAATCATATATAAACATATCGAGATATTTATCAAATCATCTCACAGCAATTTGCAAGAAAAAAGAAGTACGTAAATTTATGTTATCCCGATTATTTAGAGTTAATAAATTTGAGTAAAGGATGACAAAGCAATAGATTTATTTATCATTTATTAAATGAATATCTTAAAGTGTCAATTTTGACTAGTTGGTTAAAAAATTGTACATAATCACGTTATATGGTATTCGTGAACTGGCTTTGCCGTTTCGTTGCCTCTTAGTTAGGACATCAGAAACTAACCAGATAAAAATTTATAACACCTCGAATAGAGGTACTGCGTTTATTATTTTTATATCTACATGTCTTTTTTAATCTAAACCCTCGAACCATACGACCCCGATAGAACCACAACATCAGGTTCTCACCTTATACAAAAACCCAAGTTCCCATCATCATTATATTCTTTATTTTATTAATTTTTGTTATTTGAATTATAACATATAAGAGTAGCTCAATATTTTTTTGCATTTTTATCGTATAGATAACTTAAATAGAAGTAATAATAATCATTTCCTAGTAACTTTTGATGTTTAAAAAGATTCTGCAATTGACATATTCAGAACTTAATTAATTTTAATGATTTACTTTAACTAAATGAACCAATCAAAACAAAGTTGTTAAAAAGATTAACTCAATTGATCGTATTATAAAATTTGATTATAATTGCAAAAATCCAATATTAATTCAGGAGAAACTAACAATCATTTTTTTTTAATGATTTATATAGCAATATGTTACCAAAAAATTTGGAATATTATAATCTAGCAGTAGCACACACAAATAGAATAAATGTATTATGAAATTACAAAGTAAAATGATTTAATTTTATATTTGAGACCTATCATATCAAACTTGATTCGTCAATAAATACTTTGAAAACATTAGAAATGAATGATTTCAATTGTCTGTATGGAGAACATGGGATAAGTAACTGTTCAATTGATAAATTAGAATTTTTTTCAATTTTCGAAGGTAGTATCTTCAACTAATCGTAATCGTTTGACGTATCGTTGAAAAAAGTAAGTCAAATTAGAGCAGAGAAAATAAATGATAGTCACAAAAAAATATCTTCTCAGCCATGAATCGAAGCTAAAACTTTAAATATAGTAAAATAATTTTAATACGAATAAGAAATTTCTTCTCGCGAGTGGCGACTACAGTGATGGGATCCTTGATCTTTATTAAGTTATTTCATCTAAATGAGATAAAAATCAAAGTAGTCGAAAATTTATTCCAACTTAAAAAGAAAAAATGCAAAATATTCCTTGCCGTACGCGGGCGGGTTGGAATCTCGTACACCATGCACGTAAGACATATAAGTTTTACTGACAGGCAACCGTACGTCGCTACCGTCGGCTGAAAAAAGTGGCTATTTAAACTAGTTGAAATTTTAAAGTTAATTTTCTCGACTTCAAAAAACAAAAAAATGTAAATAAAACATTTATGAAAATCTGGGTCAGGTATTTTAAAATAAAATACAAACCCAGAATTTAACACAATAATAGCATATTTTTGAATACGGTAGTCATTTTCACCATGATGACAAAACCAGAGGTCAAATTTTTTTTTTCAAATTAAAGTATATTACATAAGCTTTAATTTAAGATACGTATAAAAGTGTCAGTATTTCTGGAACACTTTAAAAATTAAAATGAAAATGTTCTAGTTTCGATACGCGTGTTTAAAGTTTTTACCCCCTCCCCTTGTATAATGAGGTATGATCCGATTTACAAAAAAAGCATGTCAAATGCAAGGGGTATAATAAATATTATTTATAACAAAATAATAATATTGATCCATACATTTTTCCAAAAGTTCTAGCAATGTAAATTTAATAATATAAAATCGACAATTTTTTCACGGAAATCGTACGTTTTTCTTTAACTCTGATGTCCGTTTTTACCACAAAAACAAGTCCGGAGGTCAAATTTTTTTTTTCAAATTAAAGTATATTACATAAGCTTAAATTTAAGGTACATATAAAAGTATCAGTCTTTCCGGAACATTTCCATATTCTTTTTTTACTTTTTCCTATTTTATCTTTCAATATTTTTTCATATTTATTTAAAAAATGATGTGTTACATTCGGTTTGTTTAACTCCAATAAACAACAGATTTTTCATAACATGTATTTGAAAAAAATTGGTAAATTTATGCATAATATTTGAAATTATTATTATGAATAAGAATATGAATTAAAAAAAAATTTCATTAGATCCGCTTTAACTGAGTTTTATTATATTAAATAAATGATAATCATCGTTTATTGTATAAGGTTAGTAACTTTTTATATATATTTTAAAACGTCATTAATATATTTACAGGCAATCTCAAAAGATAAGATTTTATTTTCGATAAAATACAAGATTATTCGCTCGGTCCACCGCACGGTCATACGACGTTGCCGGACGAGTTGCCCGACTCCCACTCGTACGCGAACTCTCGCATCGCATACTCATTGTTGGCGTCGTAGTGCCTTCGCTTGTAGAACTGGTGCAATATGTGTACCTCAGTTTCCCCCTCATCGAACTTGAAGCAAAAAAGTTTGCTCCGCTCTTTGACGTCCTCCACGAACGTATAACCGTCGACGTTGCTCCTTATCTTCTGGATAGCCGCGTTCCAGAACACAGCATCGTACTTGTATACGATCGCTTTGACAGACTGCAGCATCTTTTGATCGGCGACTTGCCACGGCGGTAAGAGACGGTAGCGCGCGATGATCCTCTCGTCGGCAACGTTGTCGTTCACGACGGCTCGTTTGAAATTGTCCAGCTCCGATTCGTACGTATCTGAAACATTTCCAAAAAAAAAAATTCCAATGAAACCGATCGGAATTTTATTTTCCAATACTGACTTAATACTAACAAAATAACTGGNGTATCTGAAACAACATTTCCAAAAAAAAAAATTCCAATGAAACCGATCGGAATTTTATTTTCCAATACTGACTTAATACTAACAAAATAACTGGCTGAGTATCCAAATGCTAACTAACCGAATACTAACTAACCCACCAAACCTTTTTCTAAAACTATGGTGAATTATTATTATCGTTATTGTTTCGGCGTGATCTCTTACGCCTAAAGATTTTCGATAAATTAAATAAAACGTAAAAGAATGAAAAAATAGATATGCGTATATTAAATGTACGCGAGCGGTGCGCTTTAAAAAGGTAAACTAACTAATTTTAAAGCCGGACAACTATGCAGCCGCCGAACAACGATAAGATAAAACAACAATAGCTACACTTATTGTGTAGGCCTAAACACACCGCCCGCCTTGAAATATTTGTTTCAAAGTAAAAGATAACAAAAAACAACAATAATCGAAGAACAAATTTCCCAACAACTAAAAACGTAAAAGGTAATACATAAATACAAAAAAAATTAATATACAAATAATCATTAGAAACAAATTCATTATGGAAAAATTAATGATTAATCCCACACGGGATATGACACATATATGTATTACAATAACTACAAATTATAAGAAATTTAAATAAATTACAAACTGTTGCCTTCAAAAGGTAACGGACATAATAACCTGACCGCTCGTGAAAACTCGCCGACGTTAGTACGGACCTTTGCTGATCGTGCCACAGTATAATTCCATTACACGCCCAGCTTGCCATTTGAGTGATGGTAAATTTGTCTCTTTTACCAACACAATAGTTCCAATTTGTAACTTAGGCTCTTTCGTGCTGGACCATTTGGATCTTTTCTGTAGTTGAGATAAGTACTCTTGGTGCCACCGTTTCCAAAGTATTTGGGTGTAATGAGAGACTATTCTCTACCTATTTAAGTGAGTAATAGGCGTGGTCGTCTCGTCCTTTTCCGGTATGGCAGTCATTATATCGCCAATTAAAAAATGACCTGGCGTGAGATAGGTTAGATCAGCCGGATCAGAGGATATTGGAGTTATTGGTCGCGAGTTAAGTACATCTTCCACTATCGTTAGTACAGTTAATAATTCTTCGTACGTGAGCCGAGCCTCTCCCAAAACGCGATATAACAAACTTTTCATACTTTTGACCGCAGCCTCCCAAAGTCCACCGAATTGCGGTGCACGGGGTGGTATAAATCGCCACTCAATTCCTTTGTCTGCTAGATGAGAGAAAACGGATCGCTGATGTTCTGGGGACTGGAAAAGTGTGTACACCTCCTTTAAATGCCGACGCATGCCCACAAAATTTCTGGCGTTATCACTGTAAATTATTGAACTTTTGCCACGTCGATCAAAAAATCTGTTCAGCGCCTGTAAAAACGTCTTCGTTGATAAATCGCTCACGAGTTCGATATGTATCGCCTTTGTCGCGAAACATACAAATATGCTAATGTATCCTTTGTTTCATGGTGCCTTACGACGCAAGCTCGTTCTTATCATGACTGGACCCGCGAAATCTACACCACATATGGCAAATGCTCTTCCACTCTGTACCCGTGAACCAGGCAGACTCCCCATGATCGGTTGTACTATTTGAGGTTTCAGTTTAAAACAATTAACGCAATTGTGTACTATAGTACGAGCCAAACTTCGCGCTTTTAAAGNCGAGCCAAACTTCGCGCTTATAAAGGCCAATTGCGCTGCCTAATAGAGGGCACCAAGGATTGAGGTCCACTGTGCATCAAATCCACGTGTTCTTTACGGAATAATAATTTTGTGTAAAGACAGTTATCCGGAAATACAATTTGATGTCTCTGATTGTCATTTAATGCCATAGCGTATTTTAAACGTCCTCCGACGCATATAATATTATCCCCATCAATATATGGACTAAGACGTAGTAGTTTACTTTTTTTTGACACATTCGCATTTGCACTATTTAACTCTCTCAATTCTTGCCGAAAATGTGCGCGTTGAATTATTTTGATGATTGTCGTATTTGCTCTATCTAGTTCTTCGTTTACCGTTAACGGCCTATTATTTTTATCACCTACTGCTCGATTCATGTTATACCGCCAGCGTAGACAATACGCCGTCACTCTGATGATAAATAATAACGACGACCTTCTAGATAACAACGAATAACATTTATCGTACGCTACGCGTGCAACAGTCGTAATTGTTGTTTCGCCCGTATTTTTGGTTTCTGGTATATTGTTTGTACTACTGTATTGTACACATGACTTCGGCCATTTCTCGTACTCCTCCTTCAACCAATGGGGACCGTTTCAACTGAGTTGAATGCACCGCAAACGTTGCATGATAATTTTTGCAACAACTAACACAGGCCCGAGCAAACCAAGGGAATCAAAAATTGTGGCTATATTCGATAAAATTGTTCGCTTTGTTATATCGTTATTATTTATTATGTTTTCACTTAATGTATATTTAAATGAATCCGATGGCGGATCCCAACACAGGCCTAATATTTTCGTCGTGTCGTTATCGATAATACGCGGACCGTCACTATCTTTATTGTGTTCGGTAGGTAATAAACTACTTATTAAACTATTATCGTTCGATGCCCATTTCTATAAATGTAGACCGGCACCTTTCATTACGGCAATAATATTGTCTCGTAATGTTATATCCTCTGCCCGATTCATTGCACCGCCTAACCAATCATCCACATAAAAATCGTTAACTAATGATTGACACGCGTCAGGATACTTACTGGATTCACAATCAGCTACCTTTTCTAGGGATTGGTTATAATTGTCATTCACCGTGAGGAAAACCGCCGTTTGTTGATTTATACTATTGAGTTGATTTTCCGATGAACCGGCAACCACCCATCCGGACTTTGTTTCCTGAAATACAGGACCGCCTGGTCGTGACTTTATTTTACCTGCAGACATTAAACCATAGAAGTGACCCGCTCCTATTAATAGGTCAATTTTCTGTGGCACGGTGAAACGCGGATCCGCTTAGACTATAGCTTTCGGAACCACGCAGCTATCATTTAGTCGGATGCCTGGTAGGTTACTCGTAATGTTCTTAACTACTAAACATGACAATGTTACTGAATAGTTATTTAAACGGGAGTTGGCTGTAACCATTACTCGAGATTTAATTCTTTGTACGTTTCCACCAATTCCTTGGAAGCCTTGGTCGATATGGGTTTTCGGTAACCGCAAAATCTGTGCCATACGTTCGGTTATAAAGTTACTTTGTGATGCAGAATCCAGTAACACGCGACACTGCTCCCATTCACCACGATTACTCTTGACCAAAACAACTGCGGTTGGTAATAATATCGACGTAGCAGCCGGTAAGCTAGTATGTGCACTAACGGTTACTAATTCATTTTGAACTACTTGTTCTGACTGGCTATTTTCCGAATTTTCCGTTACGTTTGTTGCTGAGTTGGACTCTGACTGATCGGTTCGTGCACTTAAGTGTAAAAGTGTATTATGTGGCTTGCCACACTTAAAACAGCCTCGAGCCAAACATTTTTTCTTAGGGTGTGCCTGTAGACAATTCCTGCATAAATTGCGCTCACTAATGCGCTTAATGCGTTCAACTACGGACAAGGCCAAAAGACTAGGACATCGATACACCGAGTGATTTGAGTGACAATTAAAGCATTTTTTGTCCGAATTTGTCACCGCATAAGCATTGCTCCGTACCATAGATTTTCTGACATCTTGACTATGGGTAGCCGGTGCTGTTGCGTTTCTCTGATTTATGGCTTTAGATGATTCGATCGCTTCTAAAATTTTAAACCGTTTTTCTAAAAATTCCACCAATTCGATAATTGTAGGAAGAGAGTCCTGAGCCGATTCCGTTTCCCACGCTCGAAGACAACTTCTATCTAACTTGGTGGTTACTAAATACGTTAACATAGGACTCCACGACTCTGGCTCTTGATCAAGGGTTCTTAATGCTTGCATGTGTCCTTTTATTGAATCTGTAAACGCTCGAAGTTTAATTGCTGATTCTACAGTTAACGTCTCTAAGTGAAATAACGCTTTTACATGGGCTTGTATTAGACTTTTTTTATTGTTATATCTTTCAATTAATGTCCGCCATGCCACTGCGTAATTTGACGCCGTGATTTCCAAACAATTAACAGCCTGTTTGGCATCGTCTTTTAAAGCCGCTTTCAAATAAAAAAATTTTTGTATGTCTGACAATTGGTCGTTGGTATGAATTAATGCCGAAAAAATATCATAAAATGTTGTCCATTGCTTATAGTCGCCATGAAATGATGGGATATCTAGCGGGGCTAATCTAATAGCTGGTGCTGCTACTGTTGGTGTCGCTACGATTGAAGATTTTGCTGCCGTATTCCCTACAACAGCGTCTGACGCGTTGATGACTACCCTACTCAATTCAGATAGCCTCTTCTCCGCAATCGTACTGGCTTTAAAGTATGAGTCTTCAAAATCAGCTCTATAATTTTGCTGTTCCTCTACGTTTATCCCTTCTAGCATGTCGATTTCCAACTGTACTTGGTCGTACTCACTCCATGCTTCCTCAATTTTTTCTCTTCTAAGCCGAACTTCGATTAGGTCCGACTGTTCGTCTTGAACAAACTTTAAAAATTTGGTCAATGCCGATTTTAATTGACCTCTCCTTATGCTTAATCGCGTAATTTCATTTTTGCGATTATCTTCAGGGATAGTTTGTTTTGTTGGTTTTTACCGATAATAAATAATTGTTCCAAAAAAAACCAACCGCCTCAGCTGACCGTTACTAATATATATGTATATATATATGTACGCTCTATTAACTGTCAGAGACCGTTCGTGGTAATTTGTACAAACTAAAGTACAACTATAACGATAGTACCACGATAACCGCTGTACGCCGACACTATAAAAATTGCGCACGGGTTTTTTACACTTAACNAGCAAAGTACAACTATAACGATAGTACCACGATAACCGCTGTACGCCGACACTATAAAAATTGCGCACGGGTTTTTTACACTTAACTATATTTGTTTCACAATACTTATGACGATATCTAATGCACTTATACGAACTTTAAATTAAAATACGTTAATAATATATAATAATATTATTATATTCTGCGTATAGCAATCGCTGCTGCTACGCACTACGTTGGGCAGAAATTAACCCTTTTCTAACTCGATGCGTTAGAATTATTTACGAACACGCACAATCAGCGCTTAACTCACGTACCTTAATAACGCACTTTCGTTACGTAAATTTTCGCACTTTCACGTTTCCGATATTCACTAGACGTTCCGGGCGAAGGACCATATGTTTCGGCGTGATCTCTTACGACTAAAAGATCTTCGATAAATTAAATAAAACGTAAAAGAATAAAAAAATAGATATGCGTATATTAAATGTACGCGAGCGGTGCGCTTTACAAAGGTAAACTAACTAATTTTAAAGCCGGAAAACTATGCAGCCGCCGAACAACGATAAGATAAAACAACAATAGTTACACTTATTGTGTAGGCCTAAACAGTTATTATTATTAAATATTAATTATTATAACGATTATTATTGTTAATTATTTTTTAATTTTTATTATTTGTCTTTACTTGGTCCGGTCACCTTGTCAATACGTTTTGTGCACTTGGGACACGTAGGATTTTCCGAACATACAATTTTAGTGAGGCACCTAATGCAAACTTCGTGCCCGCAATTGTGGATTGTGCAAAAGTTATCGAATACCGTTTGCCTGCAAATGAGGCAATGGACGTCTCCTGCAAAACAGATTCGACTAAAACACATGTTATAAGACTATTGTAAATGTAAATAAATAAACGTAACGCAAAAGAACAGAGGAGAACGCGCAGTTTATAAACGGCGTTACTCCTATACAAGTGATCAAAATTTTTTACACCGCGAACGCTAAAAGACAATTTCGAAATCCAATTTGTCTATTCCGCGAATAGTCCGTCCACAACACTATAGCCATCCATATAGAATCGATGTAATCTCTGTATTACATAGTATATCGGTTGGATCGGCGCCAGGAGGGAGGGGTTAAGGTAGGATAAATTCAAATATTCATTCGATTTTATTGAACATATCATATATATATATACAGGGTGATTTTTTTATCATAACCCACTCAATTACTTACAGAATAATAATAATTAAAAATTTTTTTTTTTTTATTATCTTTAGTTACACATTATTCTTGAATTATTAACTATGTAATACTTTTAAAGTTCATCCCTTATGCCTGGTAAGGGTGTCAACTTTGTTTTTTTAAATGGTAACACATATTTTTTATTTAATAAAATGTTTGAATTTTTAATATAACTTTATTCGTTTATTAGATATAAACATTTAAAGTTTCAATTTTTTGAGTTAATATATAGGTATAATACACAAGGGATTACAAATACAGGTAGCTAATTGATTTTTTATGATATTGCTATCATAGTCACGGATTGTTTATTAACAATTATGACTATCAATAGATATACATTCTGTATTGTCAGTTAGTGTATTTATAAACTCACAACAATGTGTCTTACTACCATTGATAATAACAATGCTTTGTACCTGCTAATATCGATGTCATAAAAAACCAATTAGCTACCTGTAATTTTAATCCCTAGTGTATTATACATGTATATTAACTCAAAAATTGAAACTTTAAATGTTTATATCTAATAAACGAATAAAGTTATATTAAAAATTCAAATGCCATTTACTATTGACTTGAAAACTCAAACATTTTATTAAATTCAAAATATGTGTTACCATTTAAAAAAACAAAGTTGACACCCTTACCAGGCATAAGGGATGAACTTTAAAAGTATTACATAGTTAATAATTCAAGAATAATGTGTAACTAAAGATAGTAATAAAAAAAATTTTTTTAATTATTATTATTCTGTAAGTAATTGAGTGGGTTATGATAAAAAAATCACCCTGTATATAGAGTTCAGTAATTAATGTAACGAGTTTAATTTTTAATTATACACGATTAATAAATTGATAAATAATTGTTCGAGTACAGGACGCTGCCTTTTTTCAATTACTCGTTCGAGTTCTCAGACCGTTCGAAATTTAATAACGCACATAATTACTATGATTTATATAATAATTACCGATAAGATTATAATTACCGCCGATTGTATCGTAATTGCCTATTTAATGTATGTAATCTCTAATGTCCGAATGTACACAATTAAATGATTTTTTTATTAAACAGTTTAAAAAAAAAATTTTCGAAATAGCGTTACTATTGACGACGACGACGATGCCGCGTCAAATATACAAAATTAGAGTTTACGGTCCGAGAGCGGTACCTGCAATCGCTCGACCTGCACAACGCCGCACCGAGTCCCTTGAAAATTATTTTAACGCGTGCGCTTCTACGGTGGCGAAAAAGCACCGTGTTCCTAGTGCAGAAGGCAACAGGAAACCAATGCACCTTATTTCACAAGGTTATAAAAAGCTATGACAGAGCTTAACCTTTAGAAAAAAAAAAATAAAACACATTATAGTAAAATTAATTCTCAGCTTCGCATCGAAGCTAAAAACTATAACTTCGGTGTAGATAAATCAAAAATAATATTGACGTCCACTTACCCTTTGAAGAGACGACTAGAGAAGCTAGTAAAATCATCGAACATGGACTGAACATTTTCTCTGAAAAGCGTAATAAAGATTAGAAAGGTTTCCGCCAACGAGGTTATTTTTTATTAAATAAAATTTTAAATGTTCAGCACTTTCGTTTCACCTCGGACGTCGCGTCATCATAGGCAAGACGTATTATTTATAACGACACGTCGTCTTTTTTATGTGCCGTTGTTGTTTGTCGTAAACAAATTCGAAATGAATTTACCGTTACGACGACAATCGCGATCCATGAAAATACTAACAAGCTAACAATACTCACCGGGTGAAGCGACTCTAACGTTGATAGGTAGTCTGGAAAACTCGTCGTCGATGGAACTGGCAAGATACGCGTCGACGGATCTATATAGCGTCGCGATCGCCATGTTTGAACAGTTTTTTCGAGAGATTTGAATTATTTGTTTACGATTTATTTGCATTTCGGATTTCGACACGTCGACGAACATGTAAATGCAAATCCAGAGTACGATAATAGAACTCGCGTAAAACCGTACAAACACTGAGCGTTCCGACCATATACCATATACCGCGTTATTGTTTGTGTACGTGTAAACTACTAGGAGCGCGAAATTAACATTGACGCAATTAGAATTATATATATTTTATAATTTATACGTTGATTTCATAAAAATACATTTCTTTCAACGGCGCATGCAAACGATTATTTTTTTTTAAAAGTCTCATCTTTTAAAAAAAATATCGTTATTTTTATTTAACGCGCACGTAATCGTAAAAATCCTATTTCGCCAACAGTGAAATAGGTTTTTTATGACATCAGTTCCTCATTTACGTCATTACATCTATAATTCAACGACCACTTAGTTTCAGGTATAACGTGTAATCAATTCAAAGAATTTTGCATAATTTGCTGGAACTTGGACAAGTACAACTTTGTAGTCATTAGAAAGGACGACGAAAGAGGCAAAGGTCGATTTAGGTTGATCTTCGTCACCTTCGTTAGTATATAGTCTACGATTTTTTATTTATCGTATGCATTCATTCGACAATCATGGCTCAAGAGAGTTACAAGTATTACCAAACGAGTTAATACGTCCTAGAGAAAATATAAAACGTAAATATAAATAATTGAATGATAACGATATTAATAACGAAAAATTTATATGGCAAAATTTAGAACCAGTGATAAGTTCACGTGAAAAATTAGCGAGTACGAATACAAACTATAAACAATATGAAAGCGATGACGCGAAAACCGAGGAAAACGTTAAAATAAAATCATCGGAAGCAATAAACGAGTAAGAAGAAATACACCAAAACATCACGCAATTAATTCATGGTTCAAATGTCGAAATTCGGATAAAACATATGGTCCTGTAAAATCGCGTAGTAGTAAGATAAAATTAGGTGATGCGTTTATTGAATTTGACATTCGAAATTCAGTTTTATACACAAACGATTCTATGATTCCTTTAACAAACTGTATTGCTCTGTCGTTGTTCTCTAAAGATAAATTATACATAGACCGATAAGTAAAATTATAAAAATATGTTAATACTTACATCGGCTCTTTTGACACAAGCAAAAGTCTAGTTCAAAGAGAGGCGATAAAACTATTATTGCGCCATTGTTTACTAATGGACAAGGTCTTGCATAAACTTTACAAAAAAACGCTCACAATACTTTTTAATTTTGGGATGATCCGAATCAGTTAGTCAATAAACTCGAATTATTATTAGCGTCTAGAGCCGCTGGCAATACGGGTGTGCTAAATTTAATCGATTCGGCAGGAATTATAAAAAAAATTCCAAATGTCCTGACTAGAAATCGCCACTGAACTACATAAACAAGTAAGACGAAACGATCGTCGGAGAATAGTTAACGCGTACGGTAAATACGAATTATTGCAAGCTGACCTCATAGAAATGATACCCTTTTCTCGTCACGATAGAGGTTATAAATATATTTTATGCGTTATAGACTGTTTTACTAAATTTGCACGGGCTAAACTGTTTAATCAATTTCAATTGATTCAAAATCAATTTCCGAAATATTTGACGATCGTAGACCTAAGTTTTTACATGTTGACAGCGGAACTGAGTTCTATAGTAAAAACTTTGATGAGATTTTATGTACAACATTAAAAGATACTCGACATTTTTAGCGACTAAAAGTTTTACGGCAGAACGGTTTAATCTTACGATAAAAAAACGAAATTTATTAACAGTTTACTGCGCGTGGATCTAGCAATCGGATAAGTATTTTACCGACTTTAATGCGAGAATATAATAACTCATATCACCCAACAATAAACACCACACTTGCAGAAGCAGACTCTAATCTACGATCTGTAACATTAAATCAACGTATTATTAAACAAGGAGTTGAAAAATTCAAAATTGGCGATAAAGTGCGTATAAGCATACACAAGGGTATTTTTACTAAAGAATTTTTACCGAACTGGTCGACTGAAATGTTCACTATAACAACTAACTAAACCATATAACAACACCAAACTGTATATATATAAATTGAAGGATTATAAAAGTAACGGTATTGCAGGTGCTTTGTACGCCGAAGAAATTCAGTAAAATTCATTCTCAAGACAATTTTTTAGCCGAAAAGATAATTCGTAAGAAAGGCGATAAATTATATGTAAAAAGGTACAGCTTTAAATCTACAGAAAACAGTTGGATAAATAGTTCAGAACTTAAAAAATAAAATCACTTCGAACACATACACGTGCTAAAATGGACGTATTTGGTATAACAGAATAGAGGCAATGGTTAAGTCAATTCCCAACTCTTTATTCGTTAATAAATCAAATACATGACAGTTATGATAAGAAATACAAAATGTATGCAATGACTTGAACAATAAAATACATGAAATAAAAGAAAACTTTTTAAAACTTTTCTTTAATAAAAGAAAACCACTTTTCAGCTCTCACCTAATCGATTTCATTCAACGATACGTCAAAATATTACAAATCGTATCAAGTAAAAAATATTACCCTCAAAATTTGAAAAAATTCCCTCATTCTCCATAAATGGGGGAAATCTTTAAAAAAATTACAAAATTGAAAATCACTAATTTTTGACATTTTTTCAATTATTTTTACTTTAAACTGACATAACTTTATAGAAATGACCAAATCAATATAACTTTATTTTTATAAATTGACGATATCTTTAGCTATTATTTGATATATTTTTTTATAAATCTGACATTTTACTTTCCCACATGAAGGGATTGAAAATGACAACTTTTTCATAAAAAATTAATTTTTTTAACTTAACTTTTGATAGTGTTCCAGAAAGTCTGACACTTTTATACATATCTTATATTAAAAATAATGTAATGTACTTTATTATGGAAAAAATAAATTTCCTACTCTATAAAGCTACAACTTATTGAAAAATGTATGGATCATTATACATTTTTTATGATAAGTACTATTTATATTTATATATTATTAATACATATATATGTATATATATTAGGGTGGTCCTTATTTTTCAACTTCATAAATTTAGAGTCATGGGCTCAAAATTTCGTTAGATTCACTGAAAAAATGAAACTGGTAAAATTTGAGTACAATAAGTCAACCCCTTCACGTGCCTCAAAGGGGTTGAAGTTCTTCAAAANAACCTCTTCACGTGCCTCAAAGGGGTTGAAGTTCTTCAAAAATGAGGTGGATTTTCTTTTTTTGAGTGTACGCTCTTACACTCAAACTTGAAGTTTCGCCAAAAACACAAAGAACAATTTTTATAGAACTTAATGTGAACAAAAAATAAAATAATATATTATTTTTTTGTAAAATTAATATTGTTTCGTAAAAATAAAAAAAATCAGTTTCATTTAATTTTTTTAAAAAAATGACAGTTTTCAGTTATACTTTTCCAGTGTCTTAAATTTTAATTGTACGCAGAAATTGCACAAAAATAATATTAATCACCGCGATATCTTCTATAAAAAAGATTATTTGAGTTTTTTTCGAATTATGAATCCTTTCCAAATAAAAATTTAAAACAACTACGAAAACGTGTTTTTTTTTTAAATTTTTTTTGCATGTATGTTTATTTGTTCATAAATTAACAAATTTTCTTAGTTATATTAAATAAAAAAAAAAATAAGAAATAATAAAATAATAATTGTTTAGCACAATAATAGTTTTTCTAATTTCAATATTTTTTATTCAAAATTTCTCGACTACACCTGGGATACAGCTGACGATATTGTTGAACCACCAAAAATAGTCCAAAGTAAAGATTATAATACAAATATAGTAATTTAAAACTTAAAATTTTGCAGTATTATTATGTAATTTCATACTTGTAATATAAATTGCTTTTGATATTCATCCATTGTAAATTTGTCGTTAAATTCTGTCGTTTACTATTTTTATCGAGCATAATATTTCTTTGGCGTTATTGTATTCATTATTTATTTCCCATGTGGTAGGATCTTCACATAAAAACTTGAATTTTAATTTAAATCGCTCGAATAATGTCCATGAATTGTTGCTGAGCAACGAAAAAGGAAGATCTTTTTCTAGAAAATCTGATAAATTTTCATATTTTTAAATTAATTTTTTGAATCTTCATTTTCTTCTGGTTCTTCATTCGTGCTCTGTTCATAACCTTTTAATATTTTTTTGCCATTCGCTGTGAAGTATTAATATCAAGTCGATCGTCAAAAAAAGAAAACACAGCACACTCATCATTTAAATACCATAAATGGTTTATAAATTTTTTTATAGCTATTTCTCCTAGATTATTATTACTGTAATTTAATAACTTTTTTAATAACATTAAATCATTTATAGAAGCTGTTATAATATTCGCAGCTGAAAACCACATTTTAATATAACATTCAACTACAAAACAACATAAAATTTCTAGTGCATTTACTTCTTTTGAAGGCCCAGGTTATTGACTCATTCCTTCAACGTTTTCCTCCATATCAATATCTTTTTTCTCCGAGCTAGAGCTGCTATAATATTGAGTTTCGGCTAAATAATAAAATACTTCGGCATATAAAAACTGCTTACTTATAATGTACAGAAATTATTGTGTAATATTTAATAATTACCTGTACAATTTGCGATTACTAACTTCTCTTTTTTCTTTCGATCATCTTCTTCTTTTTGTCGAGTAATTTTACGTATTTCAATACCTGTTATCTTCATATCTATACCAAGCGTGAACCCTGGCGGCCTTTTTTAAGTTGTGACAATAGAAACTGTTTGTCTTCTTTAATACTCATCATTATCGGAGCTTTGATATAAGAAATGTCAAAGAGGTTGTCTAATTCTTCAGAAAAAATATTATAATGTTGTTCTTTTGTTTCTGTTTTTCTAGATTTATTTTTGTCCAACTTTCTCCAATTCTCATACAATTTTTTAAATTTATTAACACAGTATAAAGAATACTGTGTAGGAATACGCGCTTTTCTCCAAACTATTAAACACTCGTCTATTATAATTATTATTTTATTATTTCTTATTTTTTTTTTTTATTTAATATAACTAAGAAAATTTGTTAATTTATGAACAAATAAACATACATGCAAAAAAAATTAAAAAAAAAAAACACGTTTTCGTAGTTGTTTTAAATTTTTATTTGGAAAGGATTCATAATTCGAAAAAAACTCAAATAATCTTTTTTATAGAAGATATCACCAATACATTTTCTTGGGCATTCAACAACGAAGTATTNTACTCGGCCCTGTAGTGTTATCACCAATTTTTAACTTATTATATTTTCCATTTTTCAAAACGAGTTTCAACAATAAATACTAAGATTAATTTTTCGTATTATTAAAAAGGACGCCTGCAGTATGCTTGAAATATCTATTTATTTAAATTAACCATTTAAATTAATTAGTTTCTAAAATTATATTTTTACTGTTATGGATGTACATTTTAAATAAAAATAACTTAAACCGGTTAGAAATATGTAAGGACCTGATATAATAATCCTTTAGGATTAATTGTCTAAACGTATCACCCCAAATAACAATTTGATACGTATTAAAGAAATTCTACTTAAAATATGTTCATAGAACGTACGTAGCAATGATTACATAATATCTTTTAAATTAACCTTGTACTTTATTATTATTTATCTACATTATTTGTGGGTTTTTTCGGTTTTTCTTGTTATTTAATCGTTTAAACTAAAAATAAACTACATCACAGGACTCCCAGTAAAATTTCAATACAACATGATGGGTCATACTAATGTGAAATTTTTTTCCAACTTTGAACCCAAAGTTGAGGGGTGGGCGCAAAAGTTACAAAAAATCGTGTGACCACTCAATTTGTATGAGAATTTTTCGGGAAATATTCTGATATGATTTATTTTTAATTTTAGAGAAATTCGAAGGGGTTATTCCACAATTCCTCCATTTTTGGAAAAAAAGAAAAAAAAACGAGGTCCTATTTTACATTTTACCAGGATACTCGCCCATATAATACTATGGTTCGAAAGAGTTACACCCTGTATATATATAATCCTAGTTACGTCAATGTTAATGTTCGCACTCCGAGTACTGTACACGTACACAAATAATTCAAATCAATCGAAAAAACTGTTCAAACATGTCGATCGCGACGCTATATAGATCCGTCGACGCGTATCTTACCAGTTCCATCGACGACGAGGTAAAAGAACGAGTTTTACTGACTACTTATCAGCGTTAAAGCCGCTTCATCGGGTGAGTATTGTTAGCTTGTTAGTATTGTCATCGATCGCGATTAACGTTGTAACGATAAATTCATTTCGAGACGTCCAAATAGACGACATGCGTTAAACACATGCGTTATTTGTCATAAGTTACATTATTATGACGAGTAACGTAAATCGTATTGTTTATGACAAGTAACATGAATGACGTTGTTTATGACTAACAACATACAGTATTTAATAAATATAGTTTAAAAAAACACGCTTTTAAATCACATCGAACTAAAAAGTTAAAAATAATTTTTAAAATAAGCTTAAAACAAAAATGAACGAAAAATATTAGTATTATTGTGATAAAAGCATGGCGCGCTCAATATACGAAAAATATGGCACAAAGCACCCACCCACTACGGGTTGGAAAATATTGTTGTCTACGAGGGGTGAGCGGGGTGGGGCGAATGCGTTACGACAGTATAGTCTCAAGGTCATACACGACGGGATACGTGACATAATAACACGTGCCGCGTGGAGTTACAAACTTACAACATACAACAAACAAACAACATACATGTGAAACTAATATAAGCGTGTTAAAAAAGACGACGTGTCGTCATAAATAATACGTCTTACCTGTGCAATTTTATTTAATGAAATATAATCACGTCGGCAGCAATCTTTCTAACATGTATTACGCTTTTCAGAGAAAATGTTCAGGCCAGTTTCGATGATTTTACTAGCTTCTCTAGTCATCTCTTCTAAGGGTACGTGGACGTCAATATTATTTTTAATTTATCTACACCAGAGTAATCGCAAAATTTAATGTTTTACCCATATCTTAATATTTCAATATTCATAAATCGTTAAATCGTCAAACTACAAGTAATTATACTAATCGTATAATTACAATCGTTACTATAATTATCGGATAGTTATTGTTTATAATAGTCAACATTATCGGTTCCCAAATTATTTATATTATATAGAAAACGTATTCTGATTAATCATAGAATTGAGATGCTGATTAACGATTAAATAGGCGCTATTAGAGACCGCCGATTGTCGAGTATGCGAATCTAAAAATTAAAAAATTTTAACATCAAAAAAGTAGTATAACTAAAAAAAAACATCACAGGGGGTCGCGGCACAATGGTGACGTGGCATAGTTGGGTCAAGTAAAATCACTATCATAAAAGACGCTTCGATGCAATTCTGTAGGTAGTGTTTAATTTAGAATAAGGTGGTTTATTCTAAAAGCTACATGATCTTCTATATCCTTATTTATATCATGATTACAATTTTTATGATTTATAAGTGCAATATATACATTTATATATATATTGTAGTAAATAGCTGAATAACGTCGATTTTAGTATAATACGGAGTTTAAGGCAATAGTAAGCAATTTAAAAATTCTCAAGCAATACAGTGGTGTCATATAGAAGGGAAATGCAGGGTAAGCAAATTAATAATGTCGGGAAAAAGAATATAAAAGGGAAACATGAAAAGGATGGGAAACGAGACTGGGCGAGACGAGACTGGACGTTTTGTCGAAGAAACGTCGAGTTACGGCTTAGGTGGTTAGTGTAAGAATAACTTTATATTTTTGTGAAATTTAATTAATTTTTGTGTTAAATTTTTATATTATATTTAANTATATTTTTGTGAAATTTAATTAATTTTTGTGTTAAATTTTTATATTATATTTAACTTTGTGTTTAATACGTTTCTTAAATAAAATAGCTATTTTAAAACCTGGACTTGGAGAGCAAATATTTTATATTCACCGTGTTCTTGGAATTGTGTGTGTGTGCGGCTAGAGTCAAGGTTGGACTGCTGGTCCTTTAGTCAATCTTAATAATTAGTGTACGAGCTGGCTAGTTTTTGGGCTTAACCGTCCTTTAGTGGGTATAGTAAAAAGGTAGTTGTGCTGGTGGCTGACAAGGAGCCACCCTTCAGTCTGCTACTTTTGAGCTAGACTGTGCTGACGGGTCTAAACTCTACCCCGTTAGTAGTCCACTAATTAGAGGGATTGGGGCTGATCAGTTTATCCAACGGGAGGACTCGAGAAGAGCTCGAACGACGAACTCGTCGTCAATATATATATATACAAAACATTAATAAATTTGTGTTAAACTTTTGTGTCTACGTTGGGGCACTACCGACGTACGACAATATACACAGGGAAATGGTGTTATTTTTTAAAAAAAAGTATGTCGAATGAAAGAGGGATATAAATGTTATTTCTTATAAAAAAAATGTATTGATTCATACACCTTTCAATAAGTTATAGCATTATAAAGTTAAAAATGTAATATATAAAATCGAGAATTTTTACACAAAAATGGCATTCGGTTACTATTTTATTTTTCCATGATAAAGTATACTGCATTAGCTTTAATTTAAGATATATATAAAAATGTCAGGCTTTCTGGAACACTTTCATAAATTAAGTTGAAAAAGTTGTTATTTTAAATCCCCTACTGTGGACAGGTAAAGGGTCAGATTTATAAAAAAAAATATATCAAATGATAGGTAAAGACATCGATTCGGTGAGGGCTGAGAAAAAGTGGTAATAGACACAAAAAAGAAACATAGTAAAACTAGTACCGTCTCACCTTCGCATCGAAGCTAAAAATAATACAATAATAATATTTTTTTTCAATAGTACTTATGATGTGCGATTCGTTTAATCGGGCTTTAGTTATACGATTCACGACATTATTGTATAAAAGGCGGTATTCACTGTGAATACAAGGCGGTATACACTATAAGAGGCACACTATTTAAGCGCGATAAACGGAAATCCATAATTAAAAATTATTTTATATATATATTTTTTTAAAATAATTTTCAAGGGACTCGGTGCGGCGTTGTCCAGGTCGAGTGATTGCAGGTACTTGCCTCTCGAACCATAAACTCTGATTTTGTATATTTGACGCGGCATCGTCGTCGTCAATAGTAACGTGGTTTCGACAATCTTTTTTATAAAACCGTTTATTAAAAAATCATTCAATTGTACATTCGGACATTAGAGATTATACGTTAAATAGGCAATTATGATACAATCGGTAATTATAATATAATCAGTAATTATGTGTGTTATTAAATTTCGAACGGTCCGAGAATTCAAACGAGTAAATGAAAAAAGGCAGCGTCCGATAGTCGAACATTCATTGATCGATTTATTAATCGTGTATAATTACACTTTCGATAATCTTATGAAATGTGTTTTACCCGAATCTGTTTGCAGGAGACGTCCATTGCCCCGTTTGCAGGCAAACGGTATTCAATAACTTTTGCACAATCCACAGTTGCGGGCACGAAGTTTGCATTAGGTGCCTCACTAAAATTGTATGTTCGGAAAATCCTACGTGTCCCACGTGCTCAGTTCGTATTGGCAAGGTGACGGGCACAAGTAAAGACAAATAATAAAAATTAAATAATAATTAATAATGATAATAATAATTCACCATAGTGTTAGGAAAACGTTTGGCGGGTTAGTTAGTATTTGGATACTCAGCCAGTTATTTTGTTAGTATTAAGTCAGTATTGGAAAATAAAATTCCGATCGGTTTCATTTGGGTTTTTTTTTTTTTTGAAATGTTTCAGGTAAGTACGAATCGGAGCTGGACAATTTCAAACAAGCCGTCGTGAACAAGACGGTTACCGTCGAGAGGATCATTGCGCGCTACTATCTCCTCCCGCCGTGGCAATTTGCCGACGAAATAATGCTGGACGACATTGGTGCAGTCGTATACAAGTACGGTGCTGTGTCGCGGGACAAGATTATCCAGGGGATAAGGAGCAACGTCAACGGTTATACGTTCGTGGAGGACGTCAAGGAGCGGAGCAATTTTTTTTGCTTCAAGTATGATAACAATGAAAGAGAATTAAAAATATTGCACCAGTTCTACGATAGATGGAGATACGACGTCCAACAAGAGTATCTGATGCGAGAGTTCGTGTACGAGTGAGAGTCGGACGACTAGTCCGGTAACGTGGTACGACCGCGCGGTCGACACGAGCGAATAGTCTTGTATTTTATCGGAAATAAAAACTTATCATTCCGTTACGTACGTTTTTTATTTCATCCTACGATATCGCGGTATATTAATATACCAATATACTAATATTTAACTATAATACAAACCCGAGTAGCGATTCTAGTTCGCTCCGGGTTCATTTATGGAACGGTACCGACGGTGCTCGATTCGGTTCCAAAGGAAATTTGAATGCAGATTTTAACGCTAGTTGTACAAAAGTTCATCAAGAGTTTGTAGACCGTAAAATATATTATGTGCGTATGCATAAAGCGCAAAATAACTTTGGA